GCATATATACTGTATACTCGTGTGTATTTCCTTCTTCTCCATGTGCTGTATCTCGGCGTGGGAGGTAACTTCCCACACCGTGCTGTCATCAAATCTGACGTTCACCTGAACGGGGACGTCATTGATGACTTACACGTCCCGTAGTTGTATGTTTGTCCTCAGTCACCGAAGGTAACCACGAGGCCACCACTCGGCAAGCGGACAACCTAATTTATCCCCACGATCCCTGAAGAGGGGAAAACCCTCTTCAGGACGAAGGGGTTTAGCTTCTCAGGGGGTGGTGGATATTACATGGTCCCACTGACTCACATGTCTGTCCTCGGTGAACTCTAGTGTGTGTGTGTGTGTGTGTGTGTGTGTGTGTGTGTGTCGCACAGAGTGGTGTAATGCGTCTAGTGTGGCAGCATGATGTTAGTGTTAAGGTACAAGCACTACTTGCTCCCTCTCGCTTTCAGCTGCCGCCGCTGGCTAGCCTTCGTGGCAAACAGGGAAGCAACTTGCATAAGTCTTTCCTTGCCAGTACACAGCCTCTTCACGCATCAAAACTCCTGCTGTGCCTCCTCGTGGCAACACACGGTAACTGGGTGCCTTGTGGACCCAGGCTAGGCCAGCAGGGGATCTCGTAGTAACAGTGGACCCCAGAGGGACAGCACATAGGCCCACTGGCATGTGGACACGTCCTGGCGCCTACCAACCATTGCCCCGCTGACTTGCGAATTAACCTTGGGAGGTATAAGGCTACGGGAGTAAACTCCAAACGAAAATTCTGCAGTGGAGCCCCGCTTCAACAAGACCCCAACGACGGTATAGGCAGAAGAGGTGACCAGCATGGCAACCCAACGACTACACCGACGGATGAAGGCAATGATGGACAGGCTAATAAGGCAAAACCCCAAAAAACAGGGCTATCGGCAGTTCATTGCAAATCTCCTTCTCCCTAGTCGTTGAAACACTTGCAACAATGGATCAGGAAAATGGAGAGCCAAGATGCGTGGTTGCAGCCTGCACTCCTGCTTCACCACATAAATTAACTCATGCGCAGCCATCATCCAGCTCACCATTCGTCTCACCATCGTCAAAACCCCTATACCCCCCAAAGTCCTATGGCGATGGGGACAGGCAGAGATGACTGCCTGGAGTCTCTAGTCACAACGCTGCACATGGACGGCATGGTCGATTATGCACTAGGATCTAGGCAGCAGTGCAATCCGGTCCTGTCTGTGTAACTGAGCATTCCTCTCGAGGACCCACTCTGGTCACCCCACATGGGGAGGGGGCTAGAAAAGGTACCCTAAACATAGCCTGCTTAATGAACCAACCTGATTGGGCAACCGCACCCAGTAAGGTCATCCTTATGCGATAGAAAACACAATCATAATCACAGATCAAAACAAAAAACAAGCTATACAACCTCTTATGGTCGCTGCTTGGAATGTCAGGACCTTTCTGTATAATGGCACAAATGAGTGTCCAGAGAGAAAACTGCCCTTGTGGCAAAAGAGCTGTCTATGTATAACATCGACATGGCAGCCATTAGTGAGTCCCAGTTCCCAGACGAGGGTCAACTCACAGAAAGGGAGTCTGGCTGTACCTTCTTTTGGAAGGGTAAGACTGCTGCGGAGAGAAACTGCATTTATTGAGTTGGCTTTGCCATCCGCCAATGCATCCTACATAGGCTAACTGAAATGCCAGTTGGGATCAACGAGCATCTCATGACGCTCTGAGTCCCACTGAAACATTCACGTTATGCCTTCTTCACCAGTGTATACGCCCCAAAAACACTGGAGGCAGAGGATGCCATCAAAGAGCCTTTTACGCCGACCTTGACAGAGTGCTAACCTTTATCCCCAGAGAAGATAAGGTTGTGCTCCTTGGTGACTTCAGTGCCAGAGTTGGCAGAGATGCTGACATTTGACAGGGAACCATAGGGAGAAATGGACTGGGCAAGTGTAATCCCAATGGCCTACTTCTCCTCAGGAAGTGTGCTGCACACAACCTCACTATCACCAATACCTTGTTTAGGCAGGCCGACAAGCTCAAGGGTTTGTGGCAACACCCACGATCCAAGGACTGGCATCTCATTGACTACATTACTGTCAGAGAAAGAGATCGCCGAGATGTCTTCATCACCCGAGCACAATTGTGGCTCAGACCCCTACAACACTGATCATCGGCTCATCAGAGCCCCAAAATGGCGAAGGCATTAAGCCTCCAGAAGAGGTTTTAACACTAAGAGTCTGGAGGATCCAGCGGTAGCACATGCTTTCAGAGAGCAGCTCGAATATGGGCTGATAAGCAACCCGACAACAAACAACCAAAATCCCAGGTCTGAATGGGGTATTCTCGACAAAAACCTGCCTTAACTGACTGGCAGAACAACCCTCAGTCTCGAACCAAAGCTGATACCTCCTGCAAGAAGAAAGCGGCGGCCCAGCGCGAACTTCGCAATCTAAAGAACGACTGGTTTAAAAATAAAGAAAGTAAAATGCAAAAACTTGAAGATCAACACAAGATGTGCGAATTTTTCAAGTCCACTAAAACATTTTATGGGCCAATCACGCATGGCACAGCCCCCCTCCACTCATCCGACAGTAACCTCTTATTTAAAATCCTTCAGCACTGGAAAGAGCACTACCATTCGCTGCTCAATCGAAACACCAATGTGGATGTCCTGACTACCCAGCAGGTCCCTCAGCATCCAGAACGGACCCACCTCAGCTATCCTCCATCTCTGAATGAGGTAGCTACTGCCATAAAAAAAAAAAAAATAACAAAGCCTCAGCGCCTGATGGAATCCCAGCCGAGGTGTATAAAGCAGGAGGACCTCTGCTTACCAGCCATCTCCACTCTCTCCTGGAGAATATATGGGAAAGGAAGGAAATCCCCCAAGCTCTTTAAGACGCCTCCATCGATAATATTTTTAAGAACAAGGAAGACCGGTCAGACTGTGGCAACTAAATGGGGATCTTGCTGTTGTCCATAGCTGGCAAGATTATCGCCCGAGTCCTCCTCAACAGATTTCTTCCTGAAGCGGAAAACTTTCACCCAGAATCTCAATGTGGCTTTGGACCATCACGTGACACCACTGACTTGTACATGGCCTTCATTGACTTTACTAAGGCCTTCGACTCAGACAACAAGGAAGCCCTCTGGCGGACCCTCAGCTGTTTTGGCTGCCCACCAAAATTCATCGCCATTGTGTCCTGCACAATGGCACCCAGTCTGAGTTCTTCCCCACCCAAACGGGGGTTAAACAAGGGTGTGTACTGGCACCAACTCTCTTTGCCATTTTCTTGGCTATCTTCCTTAATTGTGCCAGTGCCAATTTAGCCGGTGGGATGGACATCGAGTACCGAATGAAGGGTCTTTTCAACACAAGAAGACTCCAGGAGGGAACAAAGATGTCGTCAGCTTCCATTACTGAACTTCACTGAGCAGACGACCTCACTCTTGTCGCTCACACTGAACGTAACCTACAGGAGATCCTGAATACCTATGCAGATGCGTATGCACACCTCGGCCTTGAGGTGAATGTACGTAAGACTCAGATTCTCTTTCAGCCTCCCCTGGTTCAGCCACACCTCCACCATCCATCCAGCTTAACGGTACTACTCTCTCTAATGTTACCCACTTTCAGTATTTCGGCTCCCACCTGTCCACCACCGCATACATCGATGAAGAGATTCAACATCGGATCAGATGTGCAGACTCCATACCTGTGTCTTCAACTGTAGTGAGCTGAAATTATCTACAAAATTGAACGTATATCGAGCAGTGGTCCTCCCCACCTTGCTATATGGCAGTGAGACATGGGTCACATAGAGGAGGCACCTCAAGGCACTTGAAAACTTTCATCAACGTAGTCTACGTTCCATCCTCCGAGTTCGCTGGGAAGACAAGAGAACATATTCCAGTATTCTTGCTGACGCCAATTGTAGGAGCATCGAGGCTATCATTATCCATGAACAACTACGTTGTACTGGCCATGTTACCTGCAAGGAGAACAGTAGAATTCCAAAGCAGCTACTTTACAGTCACCTAACGAATAATAAACGTAACGCTGGCGGGCAACTGAAAAAAGTATAAGGATAGTCTTAAGACAAACCTGAAAAAGTGTTAAATCGACCCCCATACCTGGGAAACGATTACTCCACACCGTAACGCTTGGAGGAATACCATACGAGAAGGGGTCAATACTTTCGACTTAGCCCGACTGCATATCGAGGCGGACAAGCGCCAACGCCGGAAAGACGCTGCCGCCGCCCTTCCCGCACTAGATGTAGGCCCCCACACGTGCAACTTCTGTGGACGACCTTGCCGGTCCCGTATCGGCATTTCTAGTCACTTCAAAGCTCACCAAGGAAGGTGACATCCCTAATAACTCAAATCATTGTCTCATAGCTGGATGATCGTCATACTCGATTCCGAGTGACAACAAAGTAGTAGTAGCAGTGTGTGTGTGTGTGTGTACATTGTTTGTAGTAATATACTGCACATTGTTACGAATGATAATTTACATGTAAATAAAATATATCATGTTAACTAACTGTGGATATCTTATTATAGTGTGGAACTGTATACATCATGTGTAACACAGACCCTCCCATAGGCATAATGCTTCTTGTTCATCTTGGTTGCTGTTGACAGCACAGCGCCACACCAGAACCTTAACGTATTGCTGGTTGGGAAGTGAAGTCAGAATGGCAGGTTTAAACGAAGTTGATGGATGAAGAGAAGGGTTAAGAGGCGACCTGTGACTTCTTTATACCGCAGAAAGACTCATATGTCACATATCATACATAATTACTTTTTAATCCAAAATTGGACTGAAATAAATGCTTTTCCTCAAGGCTACGTATCCAGTTCCAAATTCCATTTCCTTAAAATTCGAGTCTGTGAAGATATTACATGTTAATGGTGATGTAGTCATTCCTTGTAAGTCTGTGAGGGTCGGGAGGTGATAAGACCTGGCATATAAAAGGTGGAGCGGATGGCTCTCTGGCTCACAGCGCAACCATGCATCGCAACGCTACCACCGTCCTCCTGCCGCTCCTGCTAATGGCTCTTCTCTTCCCAGAGTCATGGGCGCACACCTACTACTACGACTTCTCGAATAACCTGGAAATTTGGAATTCCAGTCGCGGGTCGTGGCGCTGGTCTTCAAGGAGCGCCCTCGACACCACTCTACCAGCTGGCTCGACGACTGATGGATTTGCTATTCTAGATGTTAATGCAAACAGCGACGAAATGTATTCTCCCTGGTTCTCTGTACCCAATGGAGGGACGTTCACCATGAAATTCTACATACGTTCAGAGTGGACCGGATCCAACGACTTGAAAGTCGACCTGTATAAGGAGGGCGACCCTGATTCGTCAGTGTTCCTCAAACTTCAGTCATACTCCAAGCCAGACTCTTACGAATGGTTCGTTGTGGCCAAGGACATCGAATCCCAGACCGAAAGAATAAGAGTAAGTACTGAATACACAATATCCGCTTCTTGTTATTTTTGTCATTAACTTTACAGCAATCTATATTAACGTGTACCCCGGGTCGGTAATGTATACCCCAGGTGGTGCGCGCAACCGCCTGCACTACACATGAAGGTGTTTCACGAGGAACCTGATCACCTCACCTCATCTCAGTGCAGTCGACACACGGGGCCGCGGGGGTTTGACAAATTGATCTAAAGATCGACGAATGTGCGTGTACCCCTGGGTCGGGGTACACGCACATTCGTCGATCTTTAGATCAATATACTTTAAGTTTGAAAATTATAATCATATATACGACAGGGTTTTATTCAATTTATTATGCATCTAGCTTTATTGTCTTCCAGGCAAGACTTAATGCTCAGAGTTTAATTAAGGCTGTGCATGTATCATAATTGTTGATGGTTCCGTGTGTTGATACTGCTTCATCTACTCACTACTCATCATTGATTGAAACAGATAACAGTTTGTAGTACATTTATCATGGCAGCAGCCCATGTGTACGTTAATTATGTATTGCGAAGATAAGCGAGGGAAAATCGTAAACTCAAAGTAAGAGATATTTCAAATGGAGATTCATTGACGGGTATATACACGTTAGGCTTCATTAAGTCATTGTCTGTATTAATTTTTACTTCATGTGTGGTAACCAGAATGAATACTTGCAAATACCTATACTAGTATTATTCTAATGCCTGTATATAAATCACAGGGCACTTGATATCGAATGACGTTTCTTGTTGGTAAGTAGATAACCCAAACCAACAAGAGACGCTTTCTCAGTCCAAAACAAATCTGGCGATAGGCAGAGAAAAATTAGAACTTGTATTGGAAGTTTATTTTGCTTTGTTACCATCACGAGTAAATTAAATGTCCTTTTTCTTGACTGACCTACCGGAAGAATTTTTTTCGTGTTAGAAGGGCGCCGCCGGCCGTCAGAAACAACAACTAGTCTAGCAATAAACACAGCTAAGACAGCCAATCTTTCTTAACATTTCTTTTGTTTGTTGACAGATGGAGATCTTCTGTTATAACGGGAAGAAGGCTGGCAATGGAGAACCTATGTATGGCTGCGCTATTGATACCGTCACTTTCGTGCCATATGGTGATCCGACTGAAGCCCCGACTGTTGCCCCAACTGTAGCTCCGACTGTAGCTCCGACTGAAGCCCCGACTGTTGCCCCAACTGTAGCTCCGACTGTAGCTCCGACTGAAGCCCCGACTGTTGCTAACTGTAGCTCCGACTGTAGCTCCGACTGAAGCCCCAACTGAAGCTGACTGTAGCCCGACTGAAGCCGACTGTTGCCCCAACTGTAGCTCCGACTGTAGCTCCGACTGAAGCCCCAACTGAAGCCCCGACTGAAGCCGACTGAAGTTCCGACTGAGGCCCCGACTGAAGCCCCGACTGTAGCCCCGACTGAAGCCCCGACTGAAGTTCCTGACCCCCTGAAGCTGTTGTCGACTGTAGCTCCGACTGAAGCCCCTGAAGCCCCGACTGTTGCCCCAACTGTAGCTCCGACTGACGAAGTTCCGACTGAAGCCCCGACTGAAGCCCCGACTGTTGCCCCAACTGTAGCTCCGACTGAAGCCCGACTGAAGCCCCGACTGTTGCCCCAACTGTAGCTCCGACTGAAACTCCGACTGAAGCCCCAACTGAAGCCCCGACTGTAGCTCCGACTGAAGCTCCGACTGTTGCCCCAACTGTAGCTCCGACTGAAGCCCCGACTGAAACTCCGACTGAAGCTCCGACTGAAGCCCCGACTGTTGCCCCGACTGTTGCCCCGACTGAAGCTCCGACTGAAGCCCCGACTGTAGCTCCGACGAATCCTCCGACCGCACCCCCAACGACTGCCCCGACAACCCAGGCCCCAGCAGGGCCCTTGGTGTATGACTTTCAGGACGGGATGGACGAGTGGGCGCTGATCAACATGAACAGCGCCAGCTTCAGGAGAGTCCAGTTTGAGAACACTCGGGTCGGAGCACCGCCAGAAGGACCCTGGGTGCTCCAAGTGTTCCAGGATAACGTGCAGTCTGGTAAGTCAGTCACGTACAACATTAATTTTTAAATTTATGAATTATTTCGTTTTAGAGTAAAAATATACTCTCATCCCTTCGTACATCACTGTTGGGTGTAAGGGAAGCTGGGTGCAGGTACGCGGTAAATATCAGTTTCCAGGTTTTGGGATTTTCTAGATATTGTATATAAATTCCGGGTGGAGGGATCTGGATACATGTGAAATAACACTTTGTTTGCTAGTTAACTGCCTCATTTCTACAGACTCAGGGCCCCAATCTTCTTTGGGTTAAGCGAGACAATTTAGAAAGCCAGAAATTATGCTATTTTATAAGAGAATTTGATAAGCAATTAATTATCAATGTCGAAAAAAAATAGAAGAAAATTGGGTTAAATTTCACAGACAACCATTTTCACCACTCGAGGAAGTCACGTAAACTACCTTGAAGGCAGGGGGAAAATTATACACTTCCACCTAAGGGAAGGGGTCCTAGCCGACTGAAGTTAGGCAACTAAAGTCAGGGGAGAGTAAAAGATTGTAGTGAATAAACTTTCTTGTAGTAAGAACTCCTCAGAACTGAGAAGGTGCTTGTAGAATTTGCTCAGGGGTTACTGATAAAATGTAAGAAATATTAGTGAAACCTTATGATGTCTAGAGGCCTATGAGACGGGGAAACATTCGGTGGAGCTGACTTGTAGCTTTTGCCCATCGTATAAGGCTAACCATTTATTTTACTGAAATAACTTGACAAACTAACCTTTTATCTAATAAATGGTGAGCTTAATCACTATAAAGGGGGCTTCTACAGGCTCGGTGGTAGGCACGGGTCCGCTGATGGAGGCTACGGACTCACAGATCTCGGTGTCTGTCATCTTCTGGATGGACGGCAGTGTAAACTTCCCTGCACAACTTAAGATACGACGTCGATTCAGTTTCAGGTAAGAAGTGGATAGATTTAGCGTATTATGGCTTATTGGACATAACTAACAACAGGTATTAACAAACTTGAAGAATGATTGATATTAAGTCAATATATGAGTTAGTTGGAGTTATAAGAGCAATAGACAAAATTTCTTAGTGTTACATTTCTCCTATTTTCGGAAAAAAATGCGCCAATAAATATACAGCATTATGAAAAATAGAGAACCGTATTAAACGAACAAGAAAGAAAGTATCCTCACTTGAAATAATCTTGTGTTAAAGAAAAAAAGTGAAATTTAAATTGGATGAAATATTTAAATTTACACCTTGCTACCTGGATGCTCATTACTTAGAACTTTCATCAGTTCAACACAATAGATTTTATGACCTCAGATAATGATACGGAAATGTTTGAACTACGGCTAAAACGCGCGGGAGATTAAACCTTTTTAGCATTTTAACAATAACAGGTAAAAGCAGACGAAATCTTATAAACCTTAAGTTTTCACCTCTAAGTTAGCCGCTCAGTTTTAATGGAATTTATTTTACAAAAGATTGGCGTTTTATTGACTTGTTGACTTGAAAAAAAGTAACTTAACACGTGGTCACACATTAAACAAAATAATGAATGTTAGGAAGATACGCGAATGTTAAACTACATGTAACCAGATAGCCAGTGAGTAAACAGATGACACAGATACCGTCTTCCTTCAGTGATTTGGGGGAGACACCTGTGCTAAACCTGGACGGCTTTGGTAACCAGGACAACCAGATGTGGCTCTTATACACAGGCACCGCCAGCGCCATCGTCGGTCAGCGCTTCAGCCTCTTAGTTGGTGAGTTTCTCTACTGATCTTCTGCAAGTCACTGATGACTGTGTGGAATGGCAGGGATTTCATAGATAGACAAGAAGATAGATAAGAAGGTGGAGGGATGATTAGGCAGCCAGATGGAGCGATATAATAAGTCTTTCTTGGGCTATCCTTGGTTTAATCGACTAATTAGTTACCATTCTTTGTACTGTATAACTATATAGGCTACCTGCTCAACTTATGTACATGTTTAACCAATGTTGACTTGGATGACGTTTGTACAGAATAAGAATCGAGTACAGTATATAATGCTGGTGAGCGACACTTACTTTTAGGCTCTTATTTGTGGGTTTGTTTCAGCTTATGCGGAGAGAGAAAGTGAGTTTGACACTTCGCCATACTTTTTCATAATCTTGAGAGGAAAGTTCATGAAGATGGCATGAACATTAAGCTTCGTACATATTCCCATTTATATTTTCCTTGTAGGGATTAAAGAGACTGACGAGTTTGTGTAAATGTGCACTATCTGCTAGTGAACTCCATGTGCTCCTCGTCCTCCCCTCACAGAGGCTTCCCTGGGAGGTGACCGTAACAACTCGGTGGCGGTGAACAAGTTGGTGGTGAACGGTGCCAAGGCCATCCACAGTAACGTTACAACCATGAACTTCGAGAACGGTTTACTGGGTGAGTTAAGTATAATTATAAAATGGTTCGCAATATGTGTATGTTCTGAACACTTTTACTCCATGAATTCTGTCTGTATCAGTAGTATACATATATATGGATAATCAATATTAATTTTTTCAGTTAATTTTTTGAACTTCTAGTCGCATTTCTAATATTCACTCAGATAAGTATGGTGAGTTATTTCATGAATGTTGAACCTAAAGGAGTTTGTTGAAAGACGTCAACCATACACTACTTTCTGCAGTTAGAATTCCACTATTCTCTTTTGATAAACACCTCAACCAATTCCAATAATATATTATAAGACCCTGATTCCCGAGCCTCAAAATAAATAACACGAACACTGACCATCAATAATTAACTTCTTCCTCGGTGTTGGCCAGGTTGGTCGCTGGGCCAGATGCAGGGAGGGATGTGGGAGCTGAAGAACCAGTCTCACATCGACCCAGCGCTCAAGGTACCCAAGCCACCCAGTGGTGACATGATTCTCGTCGCGTCACGTCAACACATTCTTTCAGGTGAGAAAACTGTTCTTCTACCACACATACACCTACTGGGACTCATCTTAAATAGGAATAAATAAGAACATCATGAATCTCCAAGGTGGAGTAATGGTATGAACCGTCTTGAAAATATTGACCAGTACAGATATTGTTGAATCACAGATGGGAGAATAATAAACGATGGTTATGGAGGGAAGGGAAGCTCCAGCGAACAGCAGACATCATATTATATATGGCCTACAGTAGGTTTTGTCAAGGATTTAGTTGCTCTCTAAATCTAAGATCGTGTAATTACTGATTACTTGATTGAAGGAAACACAAGAATGAGTACAGACAAAAATAAAAAACAAACAAAAACACAAATTTTCCAAAGAATTTGTTAGACAATTTATAAAACGTTTCTACCAACAGAAACTTGTTAGTATTGTTGAATGTAAGGAATAGCCTCTGGCTGCTCAAACACTCTGGGTAACCTAGTAATGTGTTTCTGAGTACAGTACTTTATATAAAGTTATTTACCTTAAATATCACGTCCACCTACAGAAAATATCTACTGCTTCTTTTAATATGCGTTTTAATTTCCACAATGTTACTAAATAATTTCCTCACTCTTTTCCAAAGGTATCATGACCATAGAATCACCGATCCTGTCAGCGGCTGCCAAAACGTCCAAGAAACTCTACCTTAGATTTTGGGTGCGAGGCTCCTCCACTTACCCAGTGTCACTCAGGTGAACTAACACTTATTTAACCAGGTATCATAAAACGGTAAGAACAGGGACGTGGAATTGAGCCTCCCTGAACCTTGTAACCTTAAAGACTCCTACACGGTACTCAATGTCCACAGGTGAAACAGGTACAACTTTTCGTTGGTTACATAACATCATCTTCAACCATCGTCCTCTATATGGTTCAATATCTTTTTTATTGAACTAGATACTGTGTTTTCTGTTAAATTAGGTAACTTTTTTTAACCAAGTGCCTTTTAGTAAGTTAAATATTTCTTGAACTAACTGTTGATGTTATTATATAATACATGTACTACGTTTCAACGACTAACATCTTTAAGTGCGTATTCTGGGTGAGTACACACAGTACACTTGTCTTCAACAAATAAAGTTTAAAGATATATCTACACTCTTCCGATACTCTCATTTTTTATATGTGCTAGTCTTGAGAATATTAATTTCCCCTTTTTATATGCTAGTTACCCTCCCATGCTTTTCTTTGTTAATAACAGGTCATCCTTAAGATATTAGTCTATAATAATAATAATAATAATAATAATAATAATAATAATAATAATAATAATAACTATCCAGTTCATAAAATCTTGAATCCAATCCCCCCCCCCCCACAAAAAAACTTTCTAAATTGAGTGTGGTGGTGTGGTGAGAGTCCCCAGGTAATGATTACAATACCTTCGTCTTTCTTATCGTTCAGCATCCGTAAGAAATCCCCAGATGGAGTCTACGACGAACTACCCTTCGTGAACCTGAGGAGGTACGGCAACGTCGACAGCCAAAACTGGTTGTCTCTGGATAAAACCATCTATGTTCCCTTGAACGACGGCGAGATGTTTTACCAGGTACTATAAGGCCTTCCTGTACTTATTACTGTCGATGTGGACATATGTATACAGTACATGCATAGGCATATGTATACATGTGTACACACTAACAAATACACGCAGAGTAGCGAGCACGCACAAGCACACCCACGCAGTATACAGTGACAAAAACAATGCCACAGCAAGTAGACATTAATCTAGCCTAATTTCATATAATCTTACAAATCCGATTCCCAAGCACGCTATTTTGTTCGTATCTCAGCAGAGAATTACAACAATATCTAACATTGATCTACAATGACTAAATTAGTTTTAATTTACAAACTATTTTGGTAAATACAGGTACTCTTAAATACTGAAAGGAGATATTTTCATATTTAGCTTAAAATAGACTTCAGAAAAGGGCAAATAATTGGTGCACAAATATACAATATTTCGTAAAATCACTTTTATAACTTGAATGAATCATGGGCCAGTGTTTGTTTACATTGTGTACATTATTTGTTACTAAATAATCTACGGAAGTCATTGACAAAAGCAATTAAGTTATCCCAGGCATGAGTGTCGTCGTCTTCCTTGCATTATATACATTACCGTCAAGGAACCTTTCTACTCTTCTAGCTGGTGATCGAGGTGGACCTTGGTAGCAGGTTAGAAAACTTAGTTGCTGTTGACGACCTCAGCATCACGACTCTTACATTAAGCTAACCTGGCAAGCTGTGGCACACACACCACTGCTTCAGGGACCTGGATGCTGCCTCCTGCTGACTCATGTGTTTACAAGACCGAAGGGATCTTCGGTCCTTCTGACGAACAACTAACGAGACCTAAGGGATGCAAGGGCCTGACAACTGACAACTAACGAGACCTAAGGGATACAAGGACATGGAAACTGACAACTAACGAGACCTAAGGGATGCAAGGGCCTGGCAACTGACAACTAGCGAGACCTAAAGGATGCAAGGGCCTGGCAACTGACAACTAGCGAGACCTAAGGAATGCAAGGGCCTGGCAACTGACAACTAACGAGACCTAAGGGATGCAAGGGCCTGGCAACTGACAACTCATGCGATGCACAGATATTGGAAGCTAGTAATTAACAACAACTATTAAACTAGAAAGATGACAGCTACCTGCTAACAAATATGTATCAATTCCCACTATATGTCAGGGGCTCGTATCTAACATAAACAACGCCCTACTGGTGCTAAAACCTGCCAAATACCAGCAAAAAGGTATACACGTAACCTGACCATGTAAGTATAAAGCGAACCCTAATCTTATCATTGCTGTACCACCCAGTTCACTACAATTCTCAGCCAACATACTTCTTATTAAGAGGATGTAAGATCAGCCTCCCCCTTCGTGATAGTATTGTATGTAAGAAATAATTATGTCATCCATCAGCTTTTGTTTATATATCCTTATTCTGTGTAATTTCTGTTGGGCACCTTTCTGCTCTATATCTTATTAACTAGGCAGAAGTACAGCTTGATTAGTACTGTTATGTTATTGATAATTCACACTATTAAATGAAGGGTAATGTTTCACCTATGTTCTCAGTGAATAGTTTTTGTACATAAACGCCAACTTGTAATAAATGACAATTATGGGCAATGTGGCTAAATCGTTTGCCAGTGAATAAATTTAATTTTACTTTCGGGCAAAGATAAACTATTTATTTCATTGGATGTAATAAGTAAAATTATGAAAGCTAATGTTACTTTTTATAGTTGAAACGAAAACAACAGATATGTAACTAAATAGTTTCATTTAATTTCGACAAAAACATTAAGACTATTGACTTCTGCTTTCCATGGTTATATGTGTTTAAAAGATAATAAATTTAATGTGCTGATATCATGAAAAATGAACAAGAAACACAGTAGAAGGCATTGTTCCTGTGTATGATGACAGCGAGTCCAGTGACCCATAATGTAAGAAGTAAATAACCTTATTGAGGTATTTCACTAGGGTTGACGACATTATGGAATATTTTTTTTCCGACAGGATTTTGAACAGCGTGGAAACTGGACACTAGTCAGAACCAGGGATTACGCAGTTTATTCCCATTATCGTCACACAGATCACCAGGTCCAGTGAATTAAAAAAAAATATTTAAAGCAAGTAAATTAAACTCCCATGTGACAGCAACTAAAAAAAGAGTGTACAGTACTTACTGTAACAACAGCTAGGCCGACATTGATTTGCGCAACAAACGTAACTCGAACCTGCTACAGAGCGACGTGGCTGTGGCCAACACACGTCTTTTCAACATAATACCTCTCGTCTCTATAGTGCAAGTATTTCATCTTAAAATTCAAATAAACCAATTTATATTATGAATCCACAAAGAAAATTATTCAGGGACATTAAAACTTTCCTTCCCGTCTCAGTAGTCCAACCCAATAACTAACACACGGAACAATACATTAAGGAAATGCCTCTAATCAAAACAACAAGATGATATGGCTTTTATGACAAGCAATCGTGTTTTCCAATTTCAATGGTACGCACAATTCACACGTAAATTTAATGCTTAACATTATAAGTATCACTATGGGAAGCGGAGGCTTCATTCCTTTGTTTTGGTTAACAGTGATTTACTTATCATTAAAAAAATACCTCAGTATCAAGATAAACTAGAATTTGTTCTTAATACAGAAAATCTTTGACAACTACAGATGATAAATGATGATCGTCAACCAAACGTGGAAACAGTTTACATACACTAATGCTGACGTAACGTAACAAATATTTCTAGATTTTTTTTTAATGATCAGTGTGCATGTTAGCATAAAATAAAACTGTTTTGTGTTTATTTCCGTCTCACACACACTGGAAGACATCGATGTAATGAAAGTACCAATGATAAACCATGAAAAATACCATAATTCATTATATTACTTCTCCGTACAGTCTACTGAAAGCGTAACAATTATACAGAAGTACATGAAGTGACATTTTTAAGAAACAAGGAGAGCATCAGAGCGTAACATTGTAGTGCTCCAGAGTCTTCAGCCAGACGTAGTTGGTGGCGCCCTGGCCGATCTGACCCTCTAGGTCGTGGATGAAGAGGAAGGTGCCGTCGTGATACTCTGGTCGCACCGACATAGGGACCACTTGGCTGCGACGCCTGTATAAAGGAGGGGAAGAGACTGTCAGGTGGCTGTAGCGGTGATGGTAGTGGAGGAGAGGTCACGACGACGAAACGAAAAGTGATGGTAACAGTGAGGAATCTTCATTGCAGGTGGTGATGAGAGAGAACGAAGGCGATAACTGGTAAAATTGTGATAATTGTGGAAAAAAGAACTTATGGCGATGGAGGTAACTTAGACACAAGAGAAAGAAAAACACAATTGTTGTGTGAATTTTGATTAGCATGGATAGCGCACAAAATGTAAAATGCCTATGGAAAGTTGTAGTCTTACTGTATGTATTCTGTTGACAATATACATTTATGTTGTAAATGATACCTTATCTAGAATTCTAAATTACTCAGTTTTCCGAGTTTCGAGACTAATGAGTATTCAAAATTAATTCAAACATATTTAAAGAACATTTAAGAAAGATACAACATAGATTTTAATTAGTGGAGGCCGTGATACTATAGGAGGCTGTGTTTACAATCTGAAGGTGACGATGTAAAAGTCTTGTTTTACCTGATGTCCAGCCATCTGGGATGAAGGTCACGAGGCAGAAGACCTGTGACATATACGTCTTCCAGCCAGAAGGGTGGTCCGGTTCTCAGCTGGTCCATCTGAATCATGCGGTCCGCCAGTCTCTGATGCAGGATGTAGGCGTAACCCTGGCAGTAAGGCGGGTACACATTAGGCGAGAAATCCTTGGGATCCACCACGTAGTGTGGCAGACACCCGCCCTTCGTCACCTCCCGACACACAGACCTGGACATGGAGCGAGCACACACTGCATCTCTGGTGTCATCTACTGGCTTTAAGACGTCCAGTAAGGCCCAAAAGTTGACATAAGCGTCAACATCGCACTTCAGCACCCAAGTAGCGTTACTGCAGAAGGTCCTAAACCAGTTTACAGCGGCCAGAGACTTGACAGTCAAGTTCTTCCTCGTCTCCAGAAAATCGAACTGTATGATGTCACCATATTTGTCACTCTCTTCCTGGAGGTGTTTCTGTGTCACTGCCGAGGGAACAGCTCCTACTATGAACACTGTCCTTAGTTTCAGCTGCTTGGCTATACTCTCGCGCCCCCACATGTCTCGGATCATTTCCCGATGGTAAACTTGAGATGGGTTGGAGGTGATGGTGTTCAGTATGTACACATCCTGGTCCTTACATGTATCAGGTTCGTTGATTTTCAGACCATAAGGCCAGCCTGGTATATAGTCCATTTTAGCTCGCGTTTTGTCACCCCCGATATCATTACTGTTTCTGGAGAGGGTATCGGGGGCGAGGCTTGGGGGTGAAGCGTGGCGAGGGTGACGGGTAAGGGAGGGTGACCAGGGCATCAGCACCAGCACGAGGGTGAACACAGCACCTACCAAGGAAGTGACCGTCGCTGCCGTCAGTATCCGTCGGGGACTTGATCGACTTCCTACCAACATATCTGAAAGGACCCACAACACAGAGATAACAAGGCTGTTAAATATGATATTTATTTGCTGTAATAGTAACCAAAGTCAAGAATCCCGACCAAGCAAATGATGTTCCTTTTTGCGTGGTTGCATCTCCGACGACGAATACGACTAATTGATATATTCTGCTCATATTGGTTGTATTTAATAAAAAATTAGTGGTTCGTGAACTAGGGTGAATATATACTTCCATTTAAAGACAAGAATGAGATACCTGACGACATTCCTGTTTCTAGAACCAACGGAAGATCATATAATCAACTCCTCCTGAGCTAGTCGATACTATCAAATAACTCAATCAACCCAGTGAGTGAGTGAAATTTGTTTTGAGTAGATCAACCTTTCTATCACAATTATTCACAAGAGAACTGATGTGATTAGTTTTACCTTACATACGCACAACAAAGGTTTATGAGTTCATCTATAATATCAAGTTAAAAATGATCTAGTTTACGTATAAGATAATATCAAAGAGGATAGTTCAACCACAAGTATAAAATATGTATTTATCTACCTTAGGGTAACCACGTCAGCCCAGGTGAATTAAATGATGACTGGAGATTGTCACGACCAGAGCTGTGGTACAGTTATGCCACATAGCCTCACACACACCCACACACACACGCACACACCTGTCATGGGTCACAGCCAGTCTCTCCTACTAACAAGTGAGAAGTGTGGGTAGGCTAGCGTAACAGTCATCCATTAGGAGAGTTTGTGCGTGTGAGCGTAAGGCAGAGAGAGAGAGAGAGAGAGTACAATATATGCAGGTGTGTTGCAGGTGTGTGTGTGTGTGTGTGTGATTTGTGTACAAGTTTGGGACATTCATACACGTGTGTGGGGCCGTGGGACGCATATGCAGGTGTGAAGGACGTACGCACAGGTATGGGATGACTGTGTTCCTCGGGTCAGTAACTCATGACTGTCACGCTTTACAGAGATAACAGTAACGTGTGTGTGCTACATCGTACGTGTTCTGTAACGTGTGTGCTGTGACGTGTGTTCTGTAGCGTGTGTGTTGTGACGTGTGTTCTGTAGCGTGTGTGTTGTGACATGTGTGTTCTGTATCGTGCGTGTTGTGACATGTGTTCTGTAACGTATGTGTTGTGACGTGTGTGCACTGTGACGTGTGTAGTCTGAAACGTGTGTGTGTGTTCTGTGACATGTGTTATGTAACGTGTGTGTTGTGACATGTGTGTTCTGTAACGTGTGTTATGTAACATGTGTGCTGTACTGTGTGTGTGTGTGTGTGTTCTGTAACATGTGTGTGTATGTGCTGTACTGGAATATATGGGTGTGCTATGACGTGTGTTCTATAATGCGTGTGTTCTGAGACATGTGTGCTGTATCGTGCGTTCTGTAACATGTTTACTGTACTGTGTGTGTTCTGTAACGTGTCTGCTGTGACGTGTGTGTTCTGTAACATGTGCGTGTTGAATCGTGTGTTTTGTAATATGTGTTCTGTAATGTGTGTGCTGTGACGTGCCTTCTGTAACATGTGTGCTGTATCATGTGTTTTGTAACATGTGTGCTGTATTATGTGTTTTGTAACATGTGTGCTGTACTGTGTGTTCTGGAACACGTGTGTGCTGTATCGTGTGTTCTGTAACATGTGAGCTGAACCGTGTGTTCTGTGTTATGCGTATGCTATAACATTTGTATCATATGTGTTCTGTAACATGCATGCGCCTGTTATGTGTTCTGCAGCATGTGCGCACTGTAAGGTATGTATGTGGTAACGTGTATGTGGCGTCCAGTGTATGTGTACTGTACCGTAAATATCCACGTGACTGTAGTGATGATATGATACCAGTCAAATGCTGTATGATGGAAGCTTCGTATCCTAGTCTTTGTGGAGTGCAAAACTAATTCTCGACTTATATTGCGTTGATTTTTTCTTTCTTCAAATTTTTAGTTTGCGTTGAAGGTAAACAGGCCAAAGTTTTGTATTTGAATTACACTTACAATAAACAAACTCTTTCTATCATTGTTGGCGATAATGGATAAACAAAATATGTGATCATCTTGTGTATGAGGTTAAATTGAATGTGTGAATTTGTGTTGAGCTTACTTTTGTGAAGTGATTTTCCGAACTTTATTCGTGAGGCTATAAGTGTAAGTTTGATTCTGAAGATTAAATAGATTTAGCATAAAGTATTCATGTCATTATGTGTATTTTGTATGAGTATAATCAAGGTATTGTTTTTTCACTTAAGCGTTTCGAATTGTAGTCACATTCATTTAGAAACGTCACTTACCAGAATAATACACACACTACACACATACACACACGAAAAAATCTAAATAAACTAATCACCTGAATGGAAGAAAACGTTCAAGTTTCCATAAAAACAAAAAAATTCTTAGGGTGAACACCTCACACCCTCACAGAGCAACACACACTGAAGGGATTGAGCCGCGGCCCAGTACTGAGGCTGTGGTGGCCTGATCATACCGGTTACAACGGGAAGACGAACTCTGGTTTATAAAATACCGTATTTACGTCTTTCTGACAAGTCGCTTCTCGTTCGCACGACTGAGGGTGATTATGGTGTAGCGGTTTCTCGTCAGTAATTGTTGATAGGTTGTTTCCGAGTTTTCTAGAATTCGCTATAGATATGGCACACTCTCGCGCCCCTGTGAACAAACAAGTGTGAAATTCTAAGAAATTTTACTCTCATAAAGTTATAAACGCAACTGTTGCCTGTCAAAAACTAAATGCTAAGAGCCAGTTTGATTGTAATTATAAAAAGGAAATAAATTTTAACACACTACTGTTTTTCGTAAAAAGACTTTACATTGACATAATACTGTCAAACCTGGTTCATCATAAATAGTATAGTGCAGTTTCCAATGCCGTTTATATAGTGCAGTTTCCAATGCTGTTTATAGAAAAAAAACTGCATCGACCCGGAGCACCCCACACACATGTTCACACCGTGATGGAACACCCTAACGCTACCTAGGCGGTTGTATTAGTTTAGTTTAGTTTAGGTAAGTCAGATCAGGTTAGCTTAGGTTAGTTATGTTAAAAAAATTTCCTCTATATATGGTAACTCCACTAATATTCTGTAAATCTTAACAATCAGTTGTCTATATATACTGTACTGTACCTAGACAGTACAGCTATACAACAATTGCCGAGAAATCCACCAGATGCTTATTTCCAGTAGGGTCCTTTGCTTAGGCTTCGTTAGTAATCAATAATAGTATATCTGCACTGAGACTGACGGTGTTTAATAATATAAAACTCACTCTTCTCTTGCTGCAGGTTTATCTGTTGTGTATTTTTTTTTTAGTTTTAGCTTTGAATTGTTTGATATCATTACAGTTTTACTGTGATCAGGTAATTTGTTCCGATCTGTTCTAGCTATAGAGAAAATGTGGTTTTCGCTTGACTGTGGACACCAGGTACAATCGCTTGCACAATGGCTGTCGGGTTTTGTGAGAATTGGCACAACGTGTTTCTTGACGTCATAGTATAATGAGGAAAAAGGGCAGAAGCAAATTCTTTATAATGGTCAGTTAACGATGTTAAGAAAGGATTTTACCTCTATTTAAGAAAGCCGAAACTTCCTGCATGGCTACAGATTAGATTACATTGCCAAATATAACGTCATTGCCTACTATCTGATAAAAGCTGGATGGCAGGTAAAGGTGATGTGGTGGTGAGACGTAAGGAGACAGGGAGATGGGGAAATGGAGGGGGGTCCAGGCGTTGCAAATCAAACGAAGAAGTACTAAGATTAGCACAAACGTCAAGAGAAATACTTGAAATGTACAAAAATAGAAAAAAAGAGTTACTTTGATCATATAATTAGGGATGAAGGAATAATAAAAAATATTAATGGGCAAAGATGAGGCAGAGACTTGGACGGATGAATGAAATTAAAAACTGTGTCCCTATAGAGATACAAAACCTTAGACTTAGAGGATTGGTAACAACAGCCCGAAAACGTTTAGAGCGGAGGACTATGGTCGCCAACCCTTAAATATGTGGACGGTACTCTGACTGATTAATTGAATACTGAGCATGCATATCAGAAAAAAAAAAAAATTAACATGGCCACAACAGCCATTGAGAACACATGAATTAATTTCAATTCTTATATTCAATACAAATGCAATTAAAATAGAAAAGAAAAAAATGGGGGGGAGAGAGAGAAGGAAGGGGGGGGGGGGGGGGGCATAAAATGTCATTAATATGAGACATCAACATACGGGGCTCTGCTGGGAAAGCGCTTCACCTCTTGCTTATGTTTCCTTTATTTTCAGTTGACTTTATATATTTACACTGTAATAAGAGGTAATATAAATGCATTGACAGATGATGAAATTAGAAGTTGAGTAGTAGATGTGTGGAGTCATTCAAGATATTTCACCCTTTCTCTTTAAAAAATCATAGATATAAACCTGGCTCCAGGAATAAGGGTAATCTTCTTACTTTTATAATATTACTCAATAAAATTATTTAGGACTGATTTATTTTTAATCATACATGTACAGTACTCGTCATGGAAGAAGCACAATAACCATTGGTCCTGTGCTTCAAGCATACCAATATTACATGAATGATTTTAGATCAAGTTCAGTTTCTGTATTTATTTTGCTGTGATACACTGTACTGTTTATGAAATTAAAATATGTTCTTGCACACAAGTTGGTAAAATTCTTCTATTACTTATGTTTGAACACCAGTACATTAGTGTAAATGGTACGGTACTGTACATACAATTAGTATTCCCTTCTACATTATCAGCATTTAATACACTTCATTATACAAAAAAAAGTGTTTTGAGGAGGTCTATAAAAGTCAAGTATTTTTTAATGAAGCAAATTATGGATAATTATGAATTTCCTGTTAAGACTAAATTTCCATATTTGCATTATATAAGAATTTTTTTTATAAGTTACCCAAATAATTCATTTTCTTTATTAGATTATCAAAGAAAATGAAAAAGTAACATTGGGGGTACTTGAAGAAAACCTATCCTCTTTTCTTTCTAAATACTCTTTTACTTTTACTTTTATTCTCTTCACCACTGATCGTCTCGTTAGCCGCTTGGGCGATCAGTCACGTCTCTGTTGCGCACTGTTGCAAGTACTGGGCATGAACTGGCTCCCGAATATATCGGAACCTGCTCGTGTTGGTTAAGCCTGGCCTTGAATGAGCTCACACTCGGTGCCGTCACAACACTCTCTGGCAGATTGTTCCAAGAGTCCCCAATTCTCACTCCGAAAAAGTTTGCCCTCACTGTTTTCTGGGCTTGTGGCTTCTTCAACCTTGAGCTGTGACCCCTTGCCCCGGGCGGCCGCCAGCTCCAATGTACATTCGATCGAGTAGTGCCCTCAGAGATGTTTAAACACTTCGATTAGGTCGCCCCTTGCCCGTCTGTAGCATAAGCTAAGTAGTTGCAGGCGTTCTAATCTCTCTGAGTATCTGAGGTTCCGTAGAGCCGGCACCAGTCTAGTGGCCCTCTTTTGGACATATACAATCGATTGACAGTCTCTAGCATATCTCGGGGACTAGACGAAGTGACAATACTCTAGGCGTGGAAGCAACTCACTCTTGAAGATCGTGACGAGCGACGGACCGTCTAGTTACCTAAACGACCTTCTCATTAGACCATAATAGTTTCGTTGCTTGATTCTCTTTCTTCTCACAATAATTTCAGATCAATTAAACTTAAAGAAATATTTAGCTTCCATAAATTACATAAGTATATCACAACTATTAATGGACGAGACTCCAATTCTTAGACGATTTCTATTTTTCTTTCTTTCCCCATAAATAAAAAAATACTAGAATTTTAAAGAAAGTAATTTGTACATCTTGTAAAGCTCAAATTAAATTATAATTAAAGGAAACATTTCTGACCACATAAGGTGGAGACATTAGGTTTGGGTAAAGGAGGGGATATTAAAATAGGGTTTCTTCTTATTCCTCACTACCTATTACTAGGTAAGCTATTTTGTCAACGATCTATAAGAAGTCAAATTTCCCCATTTTTTCCTGGATTACATGAAACAAATCTAACATAACATTATCTACTAAAGTGTTAGATTATGATCAGCTCGATATGCTTAGTTTAAGTTGGAGTCGTTTGTTTCACATATATGATAAATAAAAACGTTTTCCATTTCCCCTTTGTAGAAGGACTTCTACCGTAGCAACTATACCGCACAGTATTGTAATATATTATCGTAATTCCTAGGACTTGTGGCTTCGGGTTTAATATTATTTCTTGCTTAGTGTGTTACTGTACCGAACTAAGTTTATTTATACTTATGATACTCACGAATATTCTAGAGTTCAAATCTTCATCCATTGTTTGTATAACAATCGGTACTGTATATTCAACACCAAATCTGTCTCCCTGACGTTACTCTGCGCCTTATCGGGAAGGCTGGTAACTCTACAACAGCTATTGAAGGCTCTGTCATCTTGCATGGCATCCTGGCTTGCCCCTTGCTTGTTTAGTCTTTTCTTCACATTGAACATGTATTTAGACGTGAACACCAGTTCAGGTTAGCTGCTTTATACGTCCAGAATGCGGAGTGAGAAGTTGTTTTGTCTCAGCTTGGTGTGAGCGTTTCTAGAGCAGCTTAAATGTGATATATCTAGTACTGCTAGTATGGTTCTCACGGGTGGTCAAGCTTCTTCATGGTCGATCCTTTGTATATTTTTAAAACCCTAAATCATATACTGTATCAGCTATACTTGTGCTACACTGTTGCTGGAATCTTCAGTTTCCTCAAACGATCTTCACAACTCAAGGTTTTTAGCGTGGGGTAACATCATCGTTGTCCATCTCTGAATATTCGTGATATTGGGGATGTCTTTCATTTTTGTGGGATTGACATAATACGCTGATATATTTTAAATGTGGCTGCACCAGGGCTCTATACAACTATTTGATGTTGTCATCATCTAGGTGGATGAATGATCACTGGATCACTCATCAATTGATTCAGCTTAATTTATTTCTATAATCTTTATATATCAATTAACTGACAACTATCACTCCTAATTCCTTCTCCACCCAGTTTTCTTTAATGTAAGTCGCTTATTGTCATCCTTCTTTAAATATGTTCTATGTCATCTTTCTCCTGTCATGCCAATTATAATCACTTTACTTTTATCTTGATGACTGGAATAACCATGAGCCCGACTTGTTTCTGAGGTGATCTAAATCCATTTGGAACTGTTTCTTTCGTGGGAACAAAGTAACAACGCAGGCTTTTAAAAATCCTTTGTTCCCAAACTAAATAACTACTAAGAGTGTACACTGCTCTAGCTGGTGATACACTTATATAATCTACCATGAAGAGTGTGTCAGCACCTTGTTAGTGTGTCAGCACCTTGTTTATGCACTTGGTTCTCCTGTCTCTGCATGGCTTTGACGGCCGCTA